TGCTATGGGGAACTTTGGGTGCTATGGGGGGTATGGGGCTATAGGGGGCTACAGGGGCTATGGGGGCATATGGGTGCTATGGGGGCTATGGCGCTATAGGGGTCTATGGGGCTATGGGGGGTATGGGGCTATAGGGGCCTATGGGGGTTATGGGGCTATAGGGGGCTATAGGGGGCTATTGATGGGTTCTGGAGGTCTATGGGGGGTTATGGAGGGTTATGGGACATGTATGGGTACCTATGGTCACTCGATGTCCTCTCTATGCTCCCTCCATGTCCTCTCTATGCTCCCTCCATGTCCTCTCTATGCTCCCTCCATCTCCTCTCTATGCTCCCTCCATGTCCTCTCTATGCTCCCTCCATCTCCTCTCTATGCTCCCTCCATCTCCTCTCTATGCTCCCTCCATGTCCTCTCTATGCTCCCTCCATCTCCTCTCTATGCTCCCTCCATCTCCTCTCTATGCTCCCTCCATCTCCTCTCTATGCTCCCTCCATGTCCTCTCTATGCTCCCTCCATCTCCTCTCTATGCTCCCTCCATCTCCTCTCTATGCTCCCTCCATCTCCTCTCTATGCTCCCTCCATGTCCTCTCTATGCTCCCTCCATCTCCTCTCTATGCTCCCTCCATGTCCTCTCTATGCTCCCTCCATCTCCTCTCTATGCTCCCTCCATCTCCTCTCTATGCTCCCTCCATGTCCTCTCTATGCTCCCTCCATGTCCTCTCTATGCTCCCTCCATCTCCTCTCTATGCTCCCTCCATGTCCTCTCTATGCTCCCTCCATGTCCTCTCTATGCTCCCTCCATGTCCTCTCTATGCTCCCTCCATCTCCTCTCTATGCTCCCTCCATCTCCTCTCTATGCTCCCTCCATGTCCTCTCTATGCTCCCTCCATCTCCTCTCTATGCTCCCTCCATGTCCTCTCTATGCTCCCTCCATGTCCTCTCTATGCTCCCTCCATCTCCTCTCTATGCTCCCTCCATGTCCTCTCTATGCTCCCTCCATGTCCTCTCTATGCTCCCTCCATCTCCTCTCTATGCTCCCTCCATGTCCTCTCTATGCTCCCTCCATGTCCTCTCTATGCTCCCTCCATGTCCTCTCTATGCTCCCTCCATCTCCTCTCTATGCTCCCTCCATGTCCTCTCTATGCTCCCTCCATCTCCTCTCTATGCTCCCTCCATCTCCTCTCTATGCTCCCTCCATGTCCTCTCTATGCTCCCTCCATGTCCTCTCTATGCTCCCTCCATCTCCTCTCTATGCTCCCTCCATCTCCTCTCTATGCTCCCTCCATCTCCTCTCTATGCTCCCTCCATGTCCTCTCTATGCTCCCTCCATCTCCTCTCTATGCTCCCTCCATGTCCTCTCTATGCTCCCTCCATGTCCTCTCTATGCTCCCTCCATCTCCTCTCTATGCTCCTCCATCTCCTCTCTATGCTCCCTCCATCTCCTCTCTATGCTCCCTCCATGTCCTCTCTATGCTCCCTCCATCTCCTCTCTATGCTCCCTCCATGTCCTCTCTATGCTCCCTCCATCTCCTCTCTATGCTCCCTCCATCTCCTCTCTATGCTCCCTCCATGTCCTCTCTATGCTCCCTCCATCTCCTCTCTATGCTCCCTCCATCTCCTCTCTATGCTCCCTCCATCTCCTCTCTATGCTCCCTCCATCTCCTCTCTATGCTCCCTCCATCTCCTCTCTATGCTCCCTCCATGTCCTCTCTATGCTCCCTCCCTCCATGTCCTCTCTATGCTCCCTCCATGTCCTCTCTATGCTCCCTCCATCTCCTCTCTATGCTCCCTCCATCTCCTCTCTATGCTCCCTCCCTCCATGTCCTCTCTATGCTCCCTCCATCTCCTCTCTATGCTCCCTCCATGTCCTCTCTATGCTCCCTCCCTCCATGTCCTCTCTATGCTCCCTCCATGTCCTCTCTATGCTCCCTCCATCTCCTCTCTATGCTCCCTCCATCTCCTCTCTATGCTCCCTCCATCTCCTCTCTATGCTCCCTCCATCTCCTCTCTATGCTCCCTCCATGTCCTCTCTATGCTCCCTCCATCTCCTCTCTATGCTCCCTCCATCTCCTCTCTATGCTCCCTCCATCTCCTCTCTATGCTCCCTCCATGTCCTCTCTATGCTCCCTCCATCTCCTCTCTATGCTCCCTCCATGTCCTCTCTATGCTCCCTCCCTCCATCTCCTCTCTATGCTCCCTCCATGTCCTCTCTATGCTCCCTCCATGTCCTCTCTATGCTCCCTCCATCTCCTCTCTATGCTCCCTCCATCTCCTCTCTATGCTCCCTCCATGTCCTCTCTATGCTCCCTCCATGTCCTCTCTATGCTCCCTCCATGTCCTCTCTATGCTCCTCCATGTCCTCTCTATGCTCCCTCCATGTCCTCTCTATGCTCCCTCCCTCCATGTCCTCTCTATGCTCCCTCCATCTCCTCTCTATGCTCCCTCCATCTCCTCTCTATGCTCCCTCCATGTCCTCTCTATGCTCCCTCCATCTCCTCTCTATGCTCCCTCCATGTCCCTCTCTATGCTCCCCTCCCTCCATGTCCTCTCTATGCTCCCTCCATGTCCTCTCTATGCTCCCTCCATGTCCTCTCTATGCTCCCTCCATGTCCTCTCTATGCTCCCTCCATCTCTCTCTATGCTCCCTCCCTCCATCTCCTCTCTATGCTCCCTCCATGTCCTCTCTATGCTCCCTCCATCTCCTCTCTATGCTCCCTCCATCTCCTCTCTATGCTCCCTCCCTCCCCGTTGTGGCGCCCCCTGCAGGCGGAGGCCTCCGGGCGCGTGCAGGAGCGCGCGGCGCCGCTGCCCCCCGCGCTGAGGCTCGCGGGGCTCCGCCCCTTCACGCGCTACCGCCTGCGCGTGCGCTGCGGAGCCTCCCCCTGGAGCCAATGGGAGAGCGCGGAGACCTTGGAGGGGGGTGAGGGGCGGGGTCAAGGGGGGCGGGGGGAATGGGGGTAATGGGGGGCAATGGGGGGCAATGGGGTAATGGGGGGCAATGGGGGGGTCATGGGGGTAATGGGGGTCAATGGGGTAATGGGGTAATGGGGGTCATGGGGGAATGGGGGGAATGGGGTAATGGGGGGTAATGGTGTAATGGGGGGCAATGGGGGTAATGGGGGGCAATGGGGGGTAGTGGGGGCAATGGGGGTCATGGGGGAATGGGGGGCAATGGGTAATGGGGGGAATGGGGGAATGGGGGCAATGGGGGGGAATGGGGGGAATGGGGGTAATGGGTGGCAATGGGGGTAATGGGGGCTTGATGGGGGGCAATGGGGGGCTCTATATGTTTCTATGGGGTCTCGGGTGTCTATGGGTCTCTGGGGTCTTTATGGGCTCTATGGGTTTCTATGGGGTCTCTATGGGTCTCTATGTGTCTCTATGGGTCTCTATGTGGGTATGGGTCTCTATGTGTCTCTATGTGGGTCCCTATGTGTCTCTATGTGTCCTTATGGGTCTCTATGTGTCTCTATGGGTCTCTATGGGTCCCTATGTGTCTCTATGTGTCTCTATGGGTCTCTATGTGTCTCTATGGTCTCTATGTGTCTCTATGGGTCTCTATGTGTCTCTATGGGTCTCTATGTGGGTCTCTATGTGTCTCTATGTGTCTCTATGGGTCTCTATGTGTCTCTATGGGTCTCTATGTGGGTCTCTATGTGTGTCTCTATGTGTCTCTATGTGGGTCTCTATGTGTCTCTATGTGTCTCTATGGGTCTCTATGGGTCTCTATGTGTCTCTATGTGTCTCTATGTGTCTCTATGTGTCTCTCTGTGTCTCTATGGGTCTCTATGTGTCTCTATGGGTCTCTATGTGTCTCTATGTGTCTCTATGTGTCTCTATGGGTCTCTATGTGTCTCTATGGGTCTCTATGTGTCTCTATGGGTCTCTATGTGTCTCTATGTGTCTCTATGTGTCTCTATGGGTCTCTATGTGTCTCTATGTGTCTCTATGTGTCTCTATGTGTCTCTCTGTGTCTCTATGGGTCTCTCTGTGTCTCTCTGTGTCTCTATGGGTCTCTATGTGTCTCTATGGGTCTCTATGTGTCTCTATGGCTCTCTATGGGTCTCTATGGGTCTCTATGGGTCTCTATGGGTCTCTATGGGTCTCTATGGGTCTCTCTGTGTCTCTATGGGTCTCTATGTGTCTCTATGGGTCTCTATGTGTCTCTATGTGTCTCTATGTGTCTCTCTGTGTCTCTATGGGTCTCTATGTGTCTCTAAGGGTCGCTATGTGTCTCTATGGCTCTCTATGGGTCTCTATGGGTCTCTATGGGGCTGGCTCTGTGGCTCCCACGGTTCCAGCCCCGCCCCCTTGACCTCTGTTTGACCTCATCCCCCCCCCCCCGCAGCCCCGGGCGCGCCCCCGGAGAACGTGACCCTGGAGCGCGCGGGGGCGCGCGCGCGGGCTCGTTGGGCGCCCCCTAGCGGGCAGCTCAATGGCGCCCTCCGGGGCTTCCGCCTGCGCTATGGGGGAGACCGGGAGCCCCAGGTGAGACCCACGGCGACCCATGGGGACCCATAGGGACCCATAGTGACCCATAGGGACCCATAGAGACCCATAGGGACCCATAGAGACCCATAGTGACCCATAGTGACCCATAGCGACCCATAGAGACCCATAGAGACCCATGGGGACCCATAGGGACCCATAGCGCCCTATAGCGACCCATAGGGACCCATGGGACCCATAGTGACCCATAGCACCCTATAGCGACCCATGGGGACCCATAGTGACCCATAGAGACCCATAGCGCCCTATAGCAACCCATAGGGACCCATAGGGACCCATAGCGACCCATAGTGACCCATGGGGACCCATAGGGACCCATAGTGACCCATAGCGACCCATAGTGACCCATGGGGACCCATAGGGACCCATAGCGACCCATAGTGACCCATGGGGACCCATAGGGACCCATAGTGACCCATAGTGACCCATAGTGACCCATGGGGACCCATAGGGACCCATAGCGACCCATAATGACCCATGGGGACCCATAGGGACCCATAGCGACCCATAGCGACACATAGCGACCCTTAGCGCCCTATAGCAACCCATGGGGACCCATAGTGACCCATAGCGACCCATAGCGACCCATGGGGTCCCATAGCGACCCATAGGGACCCATAGCGCTCCATGGGGACCCTTAGCGCCCCATAGCTCCCCATAGGGACCCATAGCGCCCCATAGTGCCCCATAGGGACCCATAGCGACCCATGGGGACCCATACGACCCATAGGGACCCATAGCGACCCACAGCGACCCATGGGGACCCTTAGCGCCCCATAGTGCCCCATAGGGACCCATAGCAACCCATGGGGACCCATAGTGATCCATAGCGCCCCATAGAGCCCCCGTAAGGACCTATAGCGACTCATAGCGACCCATAGCACCCCATGGGGACCCATAGTGATCCATAGCGCCCCATAGAGCCCCGTAAGGACCTATAGCGACTCATAGCGACCCCATAGCACCCCATGGGGACCCATAGCGCCCCATAGCGCCCCATAGCAGCCCATGGGGACCCATAGTGCCCATAGCGCCCATGGGGACCCATAGCACCCCATAGGGACCCATAGCGCCCCATAGCGCCCATAGGGACCCATGGGGACCCATAGCGCCCCATAGGGACCCATAGGGACCCATAGCGCCCCATTGAGCCCCCATTGCCGCAGGTGGAGCTGGACGTGGGGCTGGCGCAGGAGCAGAGCCTGGAGCTGCAGCAGAACCTGTGGGTCCGCGTGGCCCCATACACGGCGGGGGGAGAGGGGCCCTGGAGCCCCCCAGTGCGGCTGGCGCCGAGTGAGGGCGGCCCCACACGTCCCATGTCCCACACCCCACCCCCCACACTCCATACCCCATATCCCGTGCCCCATACCCATATCCCGTACCCCATATCCCATATCCCATATCCCATATCCCACACCCCATATCCCAATACCCCATATCCCATATCCCATATCCCATATCCCATATCCCACACCCCATATCCCACACCCCATATCCCATATCCCATATCCCATATCCCACACCCCATATCCCATACCCCATATCCCATATCCCATATCCCATATCCCATATCCCATATCCCACACCCTATATCCCATACCCCATATCCCATATCCCATATCCCATATCCACACCCCATATCCCACACCCCATATCCCATATCCCATATCCCATACCCCATATCCCGTGCCCCATATCCCATATCCCATATCCCATATCCCACACCCCATATCCATACCCCATATCCCATATCCCATACCCCATATCCCATACCCCATTCCCCATATCCCATATCCCATACCCCATATCCCATAGCCCATATCCCATACCCCATATCCCGTGCCCCATACCCATATCCCATAGCCCATATCCATACCCCATACCCATACCCCATATTCCATATCCCATTCCCCATACCCCATATCCCATATCCCATACCCCATATCCCATATCCCATATCCCATACCCCATACCCCATATCCCACACCCATACCCCATATCCCATATCCCATACCCCATATCCCATACCCCGTATCCCACACCCTATATCCCATATCCCACACCTCATATCCCATACCCCACACCCCATATACCGCACCCCACACTCCATATCCCATACCCCACATCCCATATCCCATACCCCACATCCCACACCCCATACCCCACACCCCCATATCCCACACCCCACATCCCACACCCCATACCCCCACACCCCGTACCCCATATACCCCATACCCCACACCCCACATCCTGATCCCCAATGATGTCCCGATGTCCCACAGTTGGAGAGACACCGCTGGAGACGCAGCCCCGGTGAGGGGATGAGGGTGATCATGGGTGATGAGGATGATGATGGATGAGGATGATGATGATGGATGAGGATGATGATGGATGAGGATGATGATGGATGAGGATGATGGATGAGGATGATGATGGATGAGGATGATGATGGATGAGGATGATGGATGAGGATGATGATGGATGAGGATGATGATGGATGAGGATGATGATGATGGATGAGGATGATGATGATGGGTGATGATGGATGAGGATGATGTCGATGATGGATGATGATGATGATGAATGAGGATGATGGATGAGGATGATGATGGATGAGGATGATGGATGAGGATGATGGATGAGGATGATGAATGGATGAGGATGATGGATGAGGATGATGATGGATGAGGATGATGATGGATGAGGATGATGTCGATGATGGATGATGATGATGATGGATGAGGATGATGATGATGATGGGTGATGATGGATGAGGATGATGTCGATGATGGATGATGATGATGATGGATGAGGATGATGATGATGATGGGTGATGATGGATGAGGATGATGTCGATGATGGATGATGATGATGATGGATGAGGATGATGATGATGGATGAGGATGATGATGATGGATGATGATGATGATGATGGATGATGATGGGTGATGATGGATGATGATGATGATGATGGATGATGATGATGATGGATGAGGATGATGATGGATGAGGATGATGATGGATGAGGATGATGATGGATGAGGATGATGATGATTATGGATGAGGATGATGATGGATGATGATGATGGATGAGGATGATGATGGATGATGATGATGGATGAGGATGATGATGGATGGAGGATGATGATGGATGAGGATGATGATGGGTGATGAGGATGGATGAGGATGATGATGGATGATGATGATGTCGATGATGGATGATGATGATGTGGATGAGGATGATGATGATGATGGATGAGGATGATGTCGATGATGGATGATGACGATGATGATGATGTCAATGATGTCGATGATGACGATGACGATGATGTCCATGATGATGATGTCAATGATGTCGATGATGACGATGATGATGATGTCAATGATGTCGATGACGATGATGTCCATGGTGATGATGTCCATGATGACAATGATGATGATGTCAATGATGTCCATGATGATGATGTCAATGATGTCCATGATGATGATGTCAATGATGTCGATGATGACGATGATGATGATGTCAATGATGATGATGATGATAATGTCAATGATGACGATGATGATGATGGATGATGATGATGTCAATGATGTCGATGACGATGATGTCCATGATGATGATGTCAATGATGTCGATGATGACGATGATGATGATGTCAATGATGATGATGATGATAATGTCAATGATGACGATAATGATGATGGATGATGATGATGTCAATGATGTCGATGACGATGATGTCCATGATGATGATGTCAATGATGTCAATGATGTCGATGATGATGATGTCAATGATGTCAATGATGTCGATGATGACGATGATGATGATGTCAATGATGTCGATGATGACGATGATGATGATGTCAATGATGTCAATGATGACGATGATGATGATGTCAATGATGTCGATGATGACGATGATGATGATGTCAATGATGATGATGATGATAATGTCAATGATGACGATAATGATGATGGATGATGATGATGTCAATGATGTCGATGACGATGATGTCCATGATGATGATGTCAATGATGTCAATGATGTCGATGATGATGATGTCAATGATGATGATGTCAATGATGTCGATGATGACGATGATGATGATGTCCATGATGATGATGTCCATGATGACAATGATGATGATGTCAATGATGTCCATGATGATGATGTCAATGATGTCGATGATGACGATGATGATGATGTCAATGATGATGATGATGATAATGTCAATGATGACGATAATGATGATGGATGATGATGATGTCAATGATGTCAATGATGTCGATGATGATGATGTCAATGATGTCAATGATGTCAATGATGACGATGATGATGATGTCAATGATGTCAATGATGACGATGATGATGATGTCAATGATGTCAATGATGACGATGATGATGATGTCAATGATGTCAATGATGACGATGATGCCAATGATGACGCCGATGATGCCGACGCTCTCCCCTCCCGCAGTGCTCCCCGCAGTGGCTCTGCCCGGTGCCCATTGGCCGCCCGTGGTGGCCGCGGTGGCCGTGGTGGCCCTGGTGGCTCTGGTGGCCCTGGGGGTCCTGGTGGCCCGCAGGTGGAGGAGGAAGAAGCCCCATTACGGGTGAGCAGCAGCCCCACAGCAGGGCACCCCCCGGCCCCATAGGGCCCCATAGGACCCTATAGGACCCTATGGGGCCCTATGGTGACCCTATGGTGTCCCCATGTCCTCCAGCGTGGCCTTTGCACCCCATGGGGAGCCCGTGGTGCAGTTCCGGGTGCGGAGCTCCTACAGCCGCCGATCCACCAATGCCTTGTGTGAGTGTCCCACGACCCCGGCCCCATGGCCATGGTGTCCATTGGTACCCATGGGGTATCTATGGGGTATCCATGGGGTATCTATGGGGTATCTATGGGGTATCTGTGGGGTATCCATGGGGTATCCATGGGGTATCTATGGGGTATCTATGGGGTATCCATGGGGTATCTATGGGGTATCCATGGGGTATCCGTGGGGTATCTATGGGGTATCTGTGGGGTATCTATGGGGTATCCATGGGGTATCTATGGGGTATCCATGTGGTATCTATGGGGTATCTATGGGGTATCCATGGGGTATCCATGGGGTATCTATGGGGTATCCATGGGGTATCTATGGGGTATCTATGGGGTATCTATGGGGTATCTATAGGGTATCTATGGGGTATCTATAGGGTATCCATGGGGTATCCATGGGGGATCCATGGGGTATCTATGGGGTACCCATGGGGTATCTATAGGGTATCTATGGGGTATCCATGGGGTATATATGGGGTATGTGTGGGGTACCTATGGGGTATCCATGGGGTATCTATGGGGTATCCATGGGGTATCTATGGGGTATCTATAGGGTATCTATGGGCTATCTATAGGGTATCCATGGGGTATCCATGGGGGATCCATGGGGTATCTATGGGGTACCCATGGGGTATCTATAGGGTATCCATGGGGTATCCATGGGGGATCCATGGGGTATCTATGGGGTATCCATGGGGTATCTATGGGATATCCATGGGGTATCTATAGGGTATCTATGTGGTATCTATGGGGTATCTATAGGGTATCTATGGGGTATCCATGAGGTATCTATGGGGTGTCTATGGGGTGTCTATGGGATGTCTATGGGGTATCTATGGGGTGTCTGTTGGATGTCTATGGGTTATCTATGGGGTATCCATGAGGTGTCTATGGGGTGTCTATGGGGTGTCTATGGGGTGTCTATGGGGTGTCTATGGGGTATCCATGAGGTATCTATGGGGTGTCTATGGGGTGTCTATGGGGTGTCTATGGGGTGTCTATGGGGTGTGTATGGGGTGTCTATGGGGTGTCTATGGAGTGTCTATGGGGTGTCTATGGGGTATCTATGGGGTGTCTATGGGGTGTCTATGGGGTGTCTATGGGGTGTCTATGGGGTGTCTATGGGGTATCTATGGGGTGTCTATGGGGTGTCTATGGGCTCCCCTCTCCCAGTCTCCCGCCTGGGCATCAGTGAGGAGCTGCAGGAGAAGCTCCGGGACGTGACCTTGGATCGGCACCGCCTGGCCCTGGGCAAGACCCTGGGTGAAGGTGGGTGCATGGCCCCATTGACTCCATGGGGCTGCCCCACTGACCCCATAGGGCTGCCCCATTGACCCCATAGAGCTGGGCCCATTGACCCCATAGAGCTGCCCCCATAGGGGTTGTTCCACATTGACCCTATAGGGATGTCCCCATTAACCGCATAGGGGCTGTTCCCCATTGACCCCATAGGGGCTGTTCCCCATTGACCCCATGGGGCTGCCCCACTGACCCCATAGAGCTGCCCCACTGACCCCATAGGGCTGCCCCATTGACCCCATAGAGCTGGGCCCATTGACCCCACAGAGCTGCCCCCACAGGGGTTGTTCCACATTGACCCTATAGGGATTGCCCCATTGACCCCATAGGGGCTGTTCCCCATTGACCCCATAGGGGCTGTTCCCCATTGACACCATAGGGCTGCCCCACTGACCCCATACAGCTGCCCCATTGACCTCATGGGGCTGCCCCATTGACCCCATAGGGCTGCCCCATTGACCCCATAGAGCTGGGCCCATTGACCCTATAGGGCTGCCCCACTGACCCCATAGAGCTGGGCCCATTGACCCTATAGGGCTGCCCCACTGACCCCATAGGGCTGCCCTATTGACTCCATAGAGCTGGGCCCATTGAACCTATAGGGATGTCTCCATTGACCCCATAGGGGTTGTTCCCCATTGACCCCATAGAGCTGGGCCCATTGACCCCATAGGGCTGCCCCATTGACCCCATAGAGCTGGGCCCATTGACCCCATAGGGCTGCCCCATTGACCCCATGGGGTCCCCCCCCATGGCCCCCCCGACCCCCCCCTTGCCCCCCAGGTGAGTTCGGCTCCGTCGTCGAGGGGCAGCTCCAGCAGGAGAGCGGCGTCCTCAGGGTGGCCGTGAAGACCCTGAAGGGTGAGCAGGACCCGAAACACCCCAAAATCACCCCAAAATGACCCAAAACACCCCAAAATCACCCCAAAATGAGCCAAAACACCCCAAAATCACCCCAAAATCACCCTAAAACACCCCTAAACCAACCCAAAATGAGCCAAAACACCCCTAAACCAACCCAAAATGAGCCAAAACATCCCAAAATCACCCCAAAATCACCCTAAAACACCCCAAAATCACCCTAAAACAACCCAAAAACAACACAAAATGAGCCAAAACACCCCAAAATCACCCTAAAACAACCCAAACACCCCAAAAACAACTCAAAATGACACAAAACACCCCAAAATCACCCCAAAATCACTCAAAAATCACCCTAAAACACCCCAAAATCACCCTAAAACACCCCAAAACCAACCCCAAATCACCCCAAAATCACCCTAAAACACCCCAAAATCACCCCAAAATCACCCTAAAACAAACCAAAACACCCCAAAAACAACACAAAATGACCCAAAACACCCCAAAATCACCCCAAAATCACCCTAAACCACCCAAAACCACCCCAAAACCAACACAAAATGAGCCAAAACAACCCAAAATCACCCCAAAACACCCCTAAACCACCCCAAAACAACCCAAAATGAGCCAAAATACCCCCAAAACAACCCAAAATGACCCAAAACACCCTGAAATCACCCCAAAATCACCCCCAAAACAGCCAAAACACCCTAAAACACCCCAAAACACCCAAAAACAACCCAAAATGACCCAAAACACCCTAAAACACCCCAAAACACCCCCAAAACAACCCTAAATGACCCAAAAGACCCCAAATTGACCCAAATTGACCCAAACCATCCGAAATGCCCCAAATAGACCCAAACCACCCCAAACCGCGCCAAATTGCCCCAAAACACCCCAAATTGACCCAAATTGATGCAAAATGCCCCAAACCACCCCAAAATGCCCCAAACCGCCGCAAATTGTCCCAAAATGCCCCAAAATGCCCCAAATTGATGCAAAATGACCCAAATTGCCCCAAAATGTCCCAAATTGACCCAAATTGCCCCAAACTGCCCCAAATTGCCCCAAAATGCCCCAAATTGATGCAAAATGACCCAAATTGCCCCAAAATGACCCAAATTGTCCCAAATTGACCCAAATTGATGCAAAATGTCCCAAACCACCCCAAATTGCCCCAAAATGACCCAAATTGCCCCAAACCGCCCTAAATTGCCCCAAAATGTCCCAAACTGGCCCAAACCACACCAAATTGCCCCAAATTACCCCAAAACACCCCAAAATGACCCAAATTGCCCCAAAACACCCCAAAATGACCCAAATTGCACCCAAATACCCCAAAACACACCAAAATGCCCCAAATTGCCCCAAAACACCCCAAAATGCCCCAAATTGCCCCAAAACACCCCAAAATGCCCCAAATTGCCCCAAAACACCCCAAAATGTCCCAAATTGCCCCAAAATGCCCCAAATTGATGCAAAATGACCCAAATTGCCCCCAAATGTCCCAAATTGACCCAAATTGCCCCAAAATTCCCCAAATTGCCCCAAAATGCCCCAAATTGATGCAAAATGACCCAAATTGCCCCCAAATGTCCCAAATTGACCCAAATTGATGCAAAATGACCCAAACCACCCCAAATTGTCCCCAAATTGCTCCAAAATCACCCAAATTGCCCCAAACCGCCCTAAATTGCCCCAAAATATCCCAAAACATCCCAAAACACCCCAAAATGACCCAAATTGCCCCCAAACACCCCAAAATGACCCAAATTGCCCCAAAACACCCCAAAATGACCCAAATTGCCCCAAAACACCCCAAAATGACCCAAATTGCCCCAAAACACCCCAAAATGACCCAAATTGCCCCAAAACACCCCAAAATGACCCAAATTGCCCCAAAACACCCCAAATTGCTCCAAATTGCCCCAAAACACCCCAAAATGACCCAAATTGCCCCAAAACACCGAAAAAAGACCCAAATTGCCCCAAAACACCCCAAAATGACCCAAATTGCCCCAAATTGCCCCAAATTGATGCAAAATGACCCAAATTGCCCCAAATTGATGCAAAATGACCCAAAATGACCCAAAGCACCCCAAATTGCCCCAATTTGCCCCAAATTGCCCCAATTTGCCCCGATCTCAGTGGCCATGGGCAGCCGGGCTCAGCTCGAGCAGTTCCTCTCCGAGGCCGCCTGCATGAAGGAGTTCGATCACCCCAACGTCATGGGGCTCATCGGTGGGTGCTGTGGGTGCTATGGGTGCTATGGGTGCTATGGGTGCTGTGGGTGCTATGGGTGCTATGGGTGCTATGGGTGCTATGGGTGCTGTGGGTGCTATGGGTGCTATGGGTGCTATGGGTGCTATGGGTGCTATGTGTGCTATGGGTGCTATGGGTGCTATGTGTGCTATGGGTGCTATGGGTGCTATGGGTGCTATGGGTGCTATGGGTGCTGTGGGTGCTATGGGTGCTGTGGGTTCTGTGGGTGCTGTGGGTGATGTGGGTGCTATGGGTGCTATGGGTGCTGTGGGTGCTGTGGGTGCTATGGGTGCTATGGGTGCTATGGGTGCTGTGGGTGCTATGGGTGCTATGGGTGCTATGGGTGCTGTGGGGTGCTATGGGTGCTGTGGGTTCTGTGGGTGCTGTGGGTGATGTGGGTGCTATGGGTGCTATGGGTGCTGTGGGTGCTATGGGTGCTATGGGTGCTATGGGTGCTGTGGGTTCTGTGGGTGCTGTGGGTGCTGTGGGTGCTGTGGGTGCTGTGGGTGCTATGGGTGCTGTGGGTTCTGTGGGTGCTGTGGGTGATGTGGGTGCTATGGGTGCTATGGGTGCTGTGGGTGCTGTGGGTGCTATGGGTGCTATGGGTGCTATGGGTGCTATGGGTGCTATGGGTGCTGTGGGTGCTATGGGTGCTGTGGGTGCTGTGGGTGCTATGGGTGCTATGGGTGCTATGGGTGCTATGGGTGCTGTGGGTGCTATGGGTGCTATGGGTGCTATGGGTGCTATGGGTGCTGTGGGTGCTATGGGTGCTATGGGTGCTATGGGTGCTGTGGGTGCTGTGGGTGCTATGGGTGCTATGGGTGCTATGGGTGCTGTGGGTGATGTGGGTGCTATGGGTGCTATGGGTGCTATGGGTGCTGTGGGTGCTGTGGGTGCTGTGGGTGCTATGGGTGCTGTGGGTGCTGTGGGTGCTGTGGGGGCTATGGGTGCTATGGGTGCTATGGGTGCTGTGGGTGCTATGGGTGCTGTGGGTGCTATGGGTGCTATGGGTGCTATGGGTGCTGTGGGTGCTGTGGGTGCTATGGGTGCTATGGGTGCTATGGGTGCTGTGGGTGATGTGGGTGCTATGGGTGCTATGGGTGCTATGGGTGCTGTGGGTGATGTGGGTGCTATGGGTGCTATGGGTGCTGTGGGTGATGTGGGTGCTATGGGTGCTATGGGTGCTATGGGTGCTGTGGGTGCTGTGGGTGCTGTGGGTGCTATGGGTGCTGTGGGTGCTGTGGGTGCTGTGGGTGCTGTGGGGGCTATGGGTGCTATGGGTGCTATGGGTGCTGTGGGGGCTATGGGTGCTATGGGTGCTATGGGTGCTGTGGGTGCTATGGGTGCTGTGGGTGCTATGGGTGCTATGGGTGCTATGGGTGCTATGTGTACTATGGGTGCTGTGGGTGCTATGGGTGCTATGGGTGCTATGGGTGCTATGGGTGCTGTGGGTGCTGTGGGTGCTATGGGTGCTATGGGTGCTATGGGTGCTATGTGTGCTATGGGTGCTGTGGGTGCTATGGGTGCTATGGGTGCTATGGGTGCTGTGGGTGCTATGGGTGCTGTGGGTGCTGTGGGTGCTATGGGTGCTGTGGGCGCTATGGGTGCTGTGGGTTCTGTGGGTGCTGTGGGTGATGTGGGTGCTATGGGTGCTATGGGTGCTGTGGGTGCTATGGGTGCTATGGGTGCTATGGGTGCTGTGGGTGCTATGGGTGCTATGGGTGCTGTGGGTGCTATGGGTGCTGTGGGTGCTATGGGTGCTGTGGGTGCTGTGGGTGCTATGGGTGCTATGGGTGCTGTGGGTGCTATGGGTGCTATGGGTGCTATGGGTGCTGTGGGTGCTGTGGGTGCTATGGGTGCTATGGGTGCTGTGGGTGCTATGGGTGCTGTGGGTGCTATGGGTGCTATGGGGGATATGGGGGCTATGGGGGCTATGGGGGCTACGGGTGCTGTGGGCTCGATTAGGCTCTATGGGGCTCCATGTACTCAGTGGGGCTCCATGGTCTCTATGGGTCTCTATGGGTCTCTATGGGGCTCCATGGTCTCTATGGGGCTCTATGGGGTGCCATGGGCTCTATGGGTCTCTTCTCTATGGTCTCCATGGGCTCTATGGGTCTCTATGGTCTCCATGGTCTCTATGGGTCTCTATGGGGCTCTATGGTCTCCATGGGCTCTATGGGTCTCTATGGGTCTCTATGGTCTCCATGGGCTCTATGGGTCTCTATGGGTCTCTATGGGTCTCTATGGGGCGCCATGGGGTAACCGGAGCTGCAGGTGTGTGCCTGCAGCCCTGGGGGGACGGGGGGCTCCCGGCCCCCATCGTTGTGCTCCCGTTCATGGCACATGGGGACCTGCACAGCTTCCTGCTGCGGGCACGCATGGGGCAGCCCCCACTGGTGAGTGGGGCAGGGGGGGGCAATGGGGGTAATGGGGGTTATGGGGTAATGGGGGTAATGGGGCAATGGGGGTAATGGGGGCAATGGGGGTAATGGGGCAATGGGGGTTATGGGGTAATGGGGGCAATGGGGGTAATGGGGGTAATGGGGCAATGGGGGTAATGGGGGTGATGGGGGTTATGGGGTAATGGGGTAATGGAGTAATGGGGGCAATGGGGGTAATGGAGTAATGGGGGCAATGGGGTAATGGGGTCAATGGGGGTTATGGGGTAATGGGGGCAATGGGGTAATGGGGGGAATGGGGGGAATGGGGGGAATGGGGGCAATGGGGTAATGGGGGGAATGGGGGTTATGGGGTAATGGGGGATGTCTATGGGGGTCTATGGTGTCTATGGGCTCTATAGGGCTCTATGGGCTCTATGGGGCTCTATGGGGCTCTGTGGATCTCTCTGTTTCTCTATGGGGTTCTATGGGTCTCTATGGGTCTCTATAGGTCTCTATGGTGTCTATGGTGTCTCTATGGCTCTCTATGGGTCTCTATGGCTCCCTATGGGTCCCTATGGGTCTCTATGGCTCCCTATGGCTCCCTATGGGTCTCTATGGGTCTCTATGGGTCCCTATGGGTCTCTATGGGTCCCTCTGGGCGCAGGCGCTGGCCCTGGGGACGCTGCTGCGCTTCCTGCGGGACATCGCTGCCGGGATGGAATATCTGAGCCTGCGGAGCTTCATCCACCGGGACCTGGCGGCCAGGAACTGCATGTGGGGCACGGCGTGGGGCGGGGGGGCAGGGTGTGGGGCAGGGTGTGGGGCAGGGTGTCCCCATTGAGGTCCCCATTGAGGTCCCCATTGAGGTCCCATTGAGATCCCCATTGAGGTCCCCATTGAGGTCCCCATTGAGGTCCCCATTGAGGTCCCATTGAGGTCCCCATTGAGGTCCCATTGAGTTCCCCATTGAGGTCCCATTGAGTTCCCCATTGAGGTCCCCATTGAGATCCCCATTGAGATCCCCATTGAGGTCCCCATTGAGGTGCCCATTGGGTCCCCATTGAGATCGCCATTGAGGTCCCCATTGAGGTGCCCATTGAGATCCCCATTGAGGTGCCCATTGAGATCCCCATTGAGATCCCCATTGAGGTCCCCATTGAGATCCCCATTGAGATCCCCATTGAGATCCCCATTGAGGTCCCCATTGAGGTGCCCATTGAGATCCCCATTGAGGTCCCCATTGAGGTCCCATTGAGGTCCCTATTGAGATCCCCATTGAGGTCCCCATTGAGATCCCCATTGAGATCCCCATTGAGGTCCCCATTGAGATCCCCATTGAGATCCCCATTGAGATCCCCGTTGAGATCCCCATTGAGATCCCCATTGAGGGCCCCATTGAGGTCCCCATTGAGGTCCCCATTGAGATCCCCATTGAGATCCCCATTGAGATCCCCATTGAGGTCCCATTGAGGTCCCCATTGGGTCCCCATTGAGGCCCCCATTGAGGCCCCCATTGAGGTGCCCATTGGGTCCCCATTGAGATCCCCATTGAGATCCCCATTGAGGTCCCATTGAGGCCCCCATTGAGGCCCTCATTGAGGTCCCCATTGAGGCCCCCATTGAGATCCCCATTGAGATCCCCATTGGGTGCCCATTGAGATCCCCATTGAGATCCCCATTGAGGTCCCCATTGAGATCCCCATTGGGTGCCCATTGAGATCCCCATTGAGGTCCCCATTGTGGCCCCCATTGAGGTCCCATTGAGGCCCCCATTGAGGCCCCAATTGAGGTGCCCATTGAGATCCCCATTGAAATCCCCATTGAGATCCCCATTGAGATCCCCATTGAGGTCCCCATTGTGGCCCCCATTGAGGTCCCATTGCGATCCCCATTGAGGTCCCCATTGAGATCCCCATTGAGATCCCCATTGAGATCCCCATTGAGATCCCCATTGAGGTCCCCATTGAGGTCCCATTGAGGTCCCCATTGAGATCCCCATTGAGGCCCCCATTGAGATCCCCATTGAGATCCCCATTGGGTGCCCATTGAGATCCCCATTGAGATCCCCATTGAGGTCCCCATTGAGATCCCCATTGGGTGCCCATTGAGGTCCCCATTGAGGTCCCCATTGAGGCCCCAATTGAGGTGCCCATTGAGGTCCCCATTGAGATCCCCATTGAGGTCCCATTGCGATCCCCATTGAGGTCCCCATTGAGATCCCCATTGAGGTCCCCATTGAGATCCCCATTGAGGTCCCATTGAGTTCCCCATTGAGTTCCCCATTGAGGTCCCATTGAGGTCCCCATTGAGATCCCCATTGAGGCCCCCATTGAGGTCCCCATTGGGTCCCCATTGAGGCCCCCATTGAGGCCCCCATTGAGGTCCCATTGAGGTGCCCATTGCCCCCCAGGTTGGACGAGCACCTGCGGGTGCTGGTGGCTGACTTCGGGCTGGCCAAGCGCCTTGGGGGGGGCAGTATTACCGCCAGGGCCACGTGGCCCCCGTGCCCGTCAAGTGGGTGGCCCTGGAGAGCCTCGAGAGCCGGGTCTACAGCACCAAGAGCGACGTGGTGAGAGCCCCACAGCGGCCCAAAACGGCCCCAAAACACCCCAAAACCAGCCCAAAGCAGCCCCAAACACCGCACCCCCCCCCAAATCACCCCAACCCCCCAAATCATCCCAAAACCAAACCAAACCCCCCTAAATCACCCCCAAACCCGCCCCTAAATCACCCCAACCCCCCAAATCATCCCAAAACCACCCCAACCCCCCAAATCACCCCAAAACCACCCCTAAATCCCCCAAAATCACCCCAAAATCGCTCCCAACCCCCCCAAAACCACCCCAAACCCCCCTAAATCACCCAAAACCACCCCCAAATCCCCCCAAATCAACCCAAACCACCCCAAAATCACCCCAAAACCCCCCCCAAACCACCAACCCCCCCAACTCACCCCAAAACCACCCCAACCCCACCCCAAATCACCCCAAAACCACCCCTAAATCCCCCAAAATCACCCCAAAATCGCTCCCAACCCCCCCAAACCCCCCCAACCCCCCCTAAATCACCCCAAAACCACCCCAAAACCCCCAAAACCACCCCAAAACCACCCCAAACCCCCCCAAATCACCCCAAAACCACCCCAAATCCCCCAAATCACCCCAAACCACCCTTAAACCCCCCAAAATCACCCCAAAATCGCTCCCAACCCCCCCAAAACCCCCCCAAACCCCCCTAAATCACCCCAAAACCACCCCAAAACCCCCCAAATCTCCCAAAATCACCCCCACACCCCCCAAATCACCCCAAAATACCCCCAAATCCCCCAAATCACCCCAAAACCCCCCCAAACCCCCCTAAATCACCCTAAAACCACCCCAAATCCCCCAAATCACCCCAAAACCCCCCCAAACCCCCCAAAATCACCCCCAAAACCACCCCTAAATCCCCCAAAATCACCCCAAAATCGCTCCCAACCCCCCCAACCCCCCCCCAAACCCCCCTAAATCACCCCAAAACCCCCCTTGCCCCCCCCCCCCCAACCTCCTTTCCCCCCATCCAATGGGAAGCGGCGCATCCCGCCCGCCAGCCAATGGGCGGCCAGCGGCGGTGCAGCGCAGCCAATGGGGAGCGCGGGCGCAGCGTTGTACCGCCCCCTAGTGGTCGTTCGGCGTCACCATGTGGGAGGTGCTGGCGCGGGGCCGCACCCCCTACCCCGGCCTGGAGAACGGAGACGTCTACCGGTACCTGCGGGGGGGAGGCGGCTCGGGGCGCCCCCAGGCTGCCCCCCGGCGATGTGAGTGACCCATAGGGACCCATAGGGATCCATAGGGACACATAGGGACACATAGAGACACATAGAGACCCATAGAGACACATAGAGACACATAGAGACACATAGGGACACATAGAGACCCATAGAGACACATAGAGACACATAGAGACACATAGGGACACATAGAGACCCATAGAGACACATAGAGACACATAGGGACACATAGAGACACATAGGGACACATAGGGACACATAGGGACACATAGGGACACATAGGGACACATAGAGACACATAGAGACACATAGAGACACATAGGGACACATAGAGACCCATAGAGACACATAGAGACACATAGGGACACATAGAGACACATAGGGACACATAGGGACACATAGGGACACATAGGGACACATAGGGACACATAGAGACACATAGAGACACATAGAGACACATAGAGACACATAGGGACACATAGAGACCCATAGAGACACATAGAGACACATAGGGACACATAGAGACACATAGGGACACATAGGGACACATAGGGACACATAGGGACACATAGAGACACATAGAGACACATAGAGACACATAGGGACACATAGGGACACATAGAGACACATAGAGACACATAGGGACACATAGAGACCCATAGAGACACATAGAGACACATAGGGACACATAGAGACACATAGGGACACATAGGGACACATAGGGACACATAGGGACACATAGGGACACATAGAGACACATAGAGACACATAGAGACACATAGAGACACATAGGGACACATAGAGACCCATAGAGACACATAGAGACACATAGGGACACATAGAGACACATAGGGACACATAGGGACACACAGGGACACATAGGGACACATAGGGACACATAGAGACACATAGAGACACATAGAGACACATAGAGACACATAGAGACACATAGAGACACATAGAGACACATAGGGACACATAGGGACACATAGAGACACATAGAGACACATAGAGACCTATAGAGACACATAGAGACACATAGAGACACATAGAGACACATAGAGACACATAGAGACACATAGAGACACATAGGACACATAGAGACCCATAGAGACACATAGAGACCTATAGGGACACATAGAGACACATAGGGACACATAGGGACACATAGGGACACATAGGGACACATAGGGACACATAGAGACACATAGAGACACATAGAGACACATAGAGACACATAGAGACACATAGAGACACATAGAGACACATAGGGACACATAGGGACACATAGAGACACATAGAGACACATAGAGACCTATAGAGACACATAGAGACACATAGAGACACATAGAGACACATAGAGACACATAGAGACACATAGGACACATAGGGACACATAGAGACACATAGGGACACATAGAGACACATAGGGACACATAGGGACACATAGAGACACATAGAGACACATAGAGACACATAGAGACACATAGGGACACATAGAGACACATAGAGACACATAGGGACACATAGAGACACATAGGGACACATAGAGACACATAGAGACACATAGGGACACATAGAGACACATAGGGACACATAGAGACACATAGAGACACATAGAGACACATAGGGACACATAGAGACACATAGAGACACATAGAGACACATAGAGACACATAGGGACACATAGAGACACATAGAGACACATAGAGACACATAGAGACCCTATAGAGACCCGTAGAGACACATAGAGACACATAGGGACACATAGAGACACATAGAGACACATAGGGACACATAGAGACACATAGAGACACATAGAGACCCTATAGAGACCCGTAGAGACACATAGAGACACATAGGGACACATAGAGACACATAGAGACACATAGGGACACATAGAGACACATAGAGACACATAGAGACACATAGGGACACATAGAGACACATAGAGACACATAGAGACACATAGAGACACATAGGGACACATAGAGACACATAGAGACACATAGAGACACATAGGGACACATAGGGACACATAGGGACACATAGAGACACATAGAGACACATAGAGACCTATAGAGACACATAGAGACACATAGAGACACATAGGGACACATAGAGACACATAGAGACCTATAGAGACACATAGAGACACATAGGGACACATAGAGACACATAGGGACACATAGAGACACATAGAGACACATAGGGACACATAGAGACACATAGAGACACATAGAGACACATAGAGACACATAGGGACACATAGAGACACATAGAGACCTATAGAGACACATAGAGACACATAGAGACACATAGGGACACATAGAGACACATAGAGACCTATAGAGACACATAGAGACACATAGGGACACATAGAGACATATAGGGACATATAGAGACACATAGAGACACATAGGGACACATAGGGACACATAGAGACACATAGAGACCTATAGAGACACATAGAGACACATAGAGACACATAGGGACACATAGAGACACATAGAGACACATAGAGACACATAGAGACCTATAGAGACACATAGAGACACATAGAGACCTATAGAGACACATAGAGACACATAGAGACCTATAGAGACACATAGAGACACATAGGGACACATAGAGACACATAGAGACACATAGAGACACATAGAGACACATAGGGACACATAGAGACACATAGAGACACATAGGGACACATAGGGACACATAGGGACACATAGAGACACATAGAGACACATAGAGACACATAGAGACACATAGAGACACATAGAGACCTATAGAGACACATAGAGACACATAGAGACACATAGGGACACATAGAGACACATAGAGACCTATAGAGACACATAGTAGAGACACATAGGGACACATAGAGACACATAGGGACACATAGAGACACATAGAGACACATAGAGACACATAGAGACCTATAGAGACACATAGAGACACATAGAGACACATAGGGACACATAGAGACACATAGAGACACATAGAGACACATAGGGACACATAGGGACACATAGAGACACATAGAGACACATAGAGACACATAGAGACACATAGAGACACATAGAGACACATAGGGACACATAGGGACACATAGAGACACATAGGGACACATAGAGACACATAGAGACACATAGAGACACATAGAGACCTATAGAGACACATAGAGACACATAGGGACACATAGAGACACATAGGGACACATAGGGACACATAGGGACACATAGAGACACATAGAGACACATAGGGACACATAGAGACCTATAGAGACACATAGGGACACATAGGGACACATAGAGACACATAGGGACACATAGGGACACATAGGGACACATAGAGACCTATAGAGACACATAGGGACACATAGAGACACATAGGGACACATAGGGACACATAGAGACATATAGGGACACATAGGGACACATAGAGACACATAGGGACACATAGGGACACATAGGGACACATAGGGACACATAGGGACACATAGAGACACATAGGGTCCCATAGGGACCCATAGGGACCCATAGGGAGCCATAGAGACACATAGGGAGCCATAGAGACACATAGGGACCTATAGGGACACATAGAGACACATAGGGACACATAGAGACACATAGGGACACATATGGATCCATAGGGACACACAGGGACAAGTAGGGACCCGTAGGGACCCATACCCCCCATAGACCCCATTACCCCCATAGAACCCCATAGGGCCCCATAGAGCCCCATACCCCCCATAGAGCCCCATAGCCCCCATTGCCCCATTGCCTCCATAACCCCATAGAGCCCCATAACCTCATAGACCCCAAACCCCCCACAGAGCGCCATAGCCCCACAGAGCCCCATAGAGCCCATAGCCCTCATAGAGCCCCATAGCCCCCATTGGGCCCATAACCCCATAGAGCCCCATAGCCCCATAGACCCCATACCCCCCATAGAGGCCCATAGCGCCCATTGCCCCCATAGAGCCTCATAGACCCCATTACCCCCGTTGCCCCATTGCCACATTGCCCCCTTGCCCCCATAACCCCATAGAGCCCCATAGCCCCATAGCCAACATAGAGCCCCATAGCCCCATAGCCCCCATACCCCCCATTGCCCCATAGCCCCCATAAGAGACCCATAGCGCCCCATGGACCCCATTACCCCCATTGCCCCCATAACCCCATAGCGCCCCATAGACCCCATTACCCCCATAGCCCCCATAACCCCATAGCGCCCCATAGCCCCATAGACCCCATTACCCCCATAGCCCCCATAACCCCATAGAGCCCCATAACCCCATAGCCCCATTACCCCCATAGCCCCCATAACCCCATAGAGCCCCATAGCCCCATAGCCCCCATTACCCCCATAGCCCCCATAACCCCATAGAGCCCCATAACCCCATAGACCCCATTACCCCCATAGCCCACATAACCCCATAGAGTCCCATAGCCCCATAGACCCCATTACCCCCATAGAGCCCCATAACCCCATAGCGCCCCACAGATCCCCATTCCCCCCCCTCATTGCCCCCCAGGTACTCTCTGATGCTGCGCTGCTGGGCCGCCGACCCCCGGGCCAGACCAAGCTTCACAGAGCTGGGGGGGGCCCTGGGGGGGGCTCTGCGGGCCCTGCCCCCCCCCCGCCCCCAGGCCCCGCCCCCGACCCCCTCTACGTCAACATGGGGGAGGGGGGGGCCGAGGGGGGAGGGGCAAGGAAAGGGGGGGGGACCCCCCCGAGCCCCCCCCCCACCCCCCGCCCCCCCCTTCCAGCGATGGGGGGGGAGGGGGGGGCCCAGGGCGCTACGTGGTTTGCCCGCCCCCCCCCACCGGGGACCCCCCCTCCCCCACATTGGGCTGTGCCTGAAGGGGGGGAGGGGGGGAACGTAAAGTGGGGACCTCCCCCCTCCCCCGCCCCCCCCCGCACCCCCCAAAGCTGCGTCACTGCCAGGGACCCCCTCCCCCCCCCCTGCACCCCGCAATGGGACCCCCCCAATGGGACCCCCCCATAGGATGGGAACC